GGGTGATATTAAAATGATAAGATGGGCATATTTTATACCCAATAATATTAAATAAACCTCACACAAAATATTTGGTGGTCTTAATAGTGGAAAGATTATTTAATGTTTCCGAAAAATAATGGCAAATATTAAAACATTAATAGTTTTTAATACAAGTTAATTGATACAATTTTCACCAGGATCCCCAATTTAATCATCAGGCTGCTCCAGCATCCTTAACAGAAGAGTGCCTTTCTTGGAGCACACTGGAAACCATCCAATTGTTTTCTGGCTCCCCTTTCAAACGTCTCCTCCAATCTATCTTTGACTGGAATACAACGTTATATTAAACTTTTAGAATTAAGTTTTTTTAAGTAATGGTTTTCATATAGTCAAACGTAAAGGCAATTACATTTGTTTGAGCGAACAATGTAATTTTAATACGTTTTCCTTATGCAGGGTGTTCCGTCATAAGTGTTTAATAAAATTTTCTGTAAAACTTAATGCTAATGCGGATTGAATTGTGCCTATTTGAGGTTCCCAACTCAAACAGTAATAGAAAAACATTATTTAAAGATATTTAAAGATATTTAAAGAAAAACTTTAGTTGTTATGAAATTACTTATATTACTATGTAAGAACAACATTTATTGTTATAATAAAGGTAATTTATCAATACCTCTCATAATTTACCATATGAAAAATACATAAACATTAGGGTTTTGAATGAGATTCTACTTAGGGTTTATCTTAAAATTAAGCATGTAATCAAGACAAAAATTTAATGAATATTAAGAGACTTATTTCTAGGTTTCATTGAATTGAAATATAAATGACAGCAATTAAATTATACAGCTGATCAAAATGTAAACAATTATGTTCTCCATAAGGATAACATGGGAACTTTCAAAGCCACTGGGGCAGAGCTCAAGGGACGTTTTCAAAAATGTAAGGTCAGTTTGCAAATCTACACGACACGCTCTTTCCAATGAGACATCAATGGATAAAATCGGTTAAGAAATGGCGGAGGAGTTCAACCGACAAAGTTTCATGTCGCGTATTAATTATATAGAAAACCATAAAAACCCAACTGCATTGTATTAAGATGTATTTCTTTACTTACCTTGTGTAATAAAAGTCGTCCATTTATTATTAAGTTTTTTATTACGAATAATCTGGCTTTATCTTATTGATAGAGGTATTAGGATCTAACTAGTGTTTACATATCACCAGCGTAATCCACAAGTCTTAACACTAAAATTTGAACGAACGAATATTTAGGTTACAATACTACTATTAAATTTTTTTACATTCAGATATATACTTTTTTCCATCGACGAGTATAAACGACGGCAAAATAATTAACCATAAAATATGGTTGATTATGTTACAGAGTGGTGTGAACGTTATTTAATTTTGATATTTAGAGAGCGTGTTATCCTTTAGCCTAATTCTGTAAATCTGTTTAAAAACAATCTTATTCGTATATTTATGTATAATACCAACAGCAAACCTTACATTTGTCGGGTATATTGTTAATATTGAAACAAAAATAAATGTGCACAATAATGAAAAACGTGTAGCATATCTTTTTCTGTTTTATGATAGTACACAAATCTTAATACCATTAAATATGGGCATATATATGATTTCTTTTTCTTTTGCAGTAGAATATTATAGGCTAAACACTATGACGCATTTCCATACTTCGTTTTGAAAGTTGTAAAACACCCAAGAATATCACCCTTGATACCTCGGAAAAGTTGTCAATGAAACATAGCCTTATTGTTAATTAAAACACAAATGCCATGGAAGTAAATAAAGTTTTGCTTGTTGTTTTGTTGAGCTTTGGCGGCCGCGCGAATCTCGTTTCGGGGGCAAAATTCCAGCCTGACTATTCTCCATAAGCATTTCGCTTCTTAAGGGTTTGTATTCATTGGTATTGGACACCTTGTAAACTCATTTGAAAGTTGCTTACCTATCGTTGTGACTAATAAACACACTTGAAAGCAAAATGCAGCAAAGACGAGTACAGGGGTCAAAACTCGCTAAATAAGCTATTTAAGCTTATATGAAAATATATGTCATGTTTTTAAAATTAAACTACGTGCTATTTATATTTTTGGGTTATTGATCTAGTAGGTTGAGTATGACAGTATAAACTTATCTTTAATAAACACATTTTATGTCACCTGTAACAGTAATTTCTTGAAAAAAAATATTTTTATTAACTTTAAGATAATAAATATATACAGTATAGACATATTTTTCCTTTTATATACTAGATATGTGTAGGTACTGTATACGGGTTTCTTGTCGATATTTTATTTTGTATTTAATATGAAGGGCTGTAATAAGAAAAACTATAATATATTATGCTGTAAATGTTTGCTGAGAACTCGTCGTTTAAAACCTATTAGTGGTGATGGTGAGTTAACTCTTGATAGATTATTGCATTTTATATACCATCAGAATCATTTTTTAAAACAAGGTTTTGATTTTATGATCTGGAGTCAGATTATGTCCTCAGTTGAGAATTTGTCAAATAACTAACAACATCTGTACATAAGCTCAGCTAAAAAAAGAAAATAACAAGTAAAACTCCACATAGAAACCTGTATTGCAGTACAAATAATTAACAAAAAACTATTAATTAAAACAATGTTATATTTACTAATGAAAATAAAAGAACTCACGTCTTCATAGAGTGGTTTACGCGAGACCGTTGATTAGGTTTTTGCAGAGCACAAACTAACTTAAACAGAATTTACTTAAAGAAATCCTTTAAAATATTCGGAATGAATATGTAAATGTCATAAATTGATTTGCATTAAATTTATCAAATACGATCTAGCTTAGTTTGATTTGGGTCAAAGCAAATATGTCGGGGGTGATATTAAAATGATAAGATGGGCATATTTTATACCCAATAATATTAAATAAACCTCACACAAAATATTTGGTGGTCTTAATAGTGGAAAGATTATTTAATGTTTCCGAAAAATAATGGCAAATATTAAAACATTAATAGTTTTTAATACAAGTTAATTGATACAATTTTCACCAGGATCCCCAATTTAATCATCAGGCTGCTCCAGCATCCTTAACAGCAGAGTGCCTTTCTTGGAGCACACTGGAAACCATCCAATTGTTTTCTGGCTCCCCTTTCAAACGTCTCCTCCAATCTATCTTTGACTGGAATACAACGTTATATTAAACTTTTAGAATTAAGTTTTTTTAAGTAATGGTTTTCATATAGTCAAACGTAAAGGCAATTACATTTGTTTGAGCGAACAATGTAATTTTAATACGTTTTCCTTATGCAGGGTGTTCCGTCATAAGTGTTTAATAAAATTTTCTGTAAAACTTAATGCTAATGCGGATTGAATTGTGCCTATTTGAGGTTCCCAACTCAAACAGTAATAGAAAAACATTATTTAAAGATATTTAAAGATATTTAAAGAAAAACTTTAGTTGTTATGAAATTACTTATATTACTATGTAAGAACAACATTTATTGTTATAATAAAGGTAATTTATCAATACCTCTCATAATTTACCATATGAAAAATACATAAACATTAGGGTTTTGAATGAGATTCTACTTAGGGTTTATCTTAAAATTAAGCATGTAATCAAGACAAAAATTTAATGAATATTAAGAGACTTATTTCTAGGTTGCGGAGTTAAGGTATAAAATATTACCAAACTGTATAACTGTAGCAAACTAAGCTGTATAACAGAGAACTATGTAACATGTATTTTTTAATATACTAAAGACCCAATAATAAAATATTATTTAAGTATGTTATAATTCTTTAAATATTCAAGTTAGGATTTGATTTACTTAAAAATATGTATCACCTAGAAATAACTTAACGTACAATCCTAAGAGTTTTGAGGGCAAGTAAGACGTGGAAGTAATTTACTCTGTTTGTTTATCACCGTGTAGAAATCTCCCAGGGTTCAGGTGGTTTTACAGTACACTTGTAGAGAAAAGCGAAAACCTTTGGCAAGGGTCGAGCTTTAATACCATTACCTCCATGTTTTTTTAAACGTTTATTTCTTATACTTATTCTTTATAAGTGGTTGGTAATGAATACAGAATCTTTATAGTTTTATTAAAATATGGTATACAAAAAAATTGGCAAATCAAAATAATCTGTGATTTTTATTGTTTTTTTTATTAAGTTTTAAATTAAAATTGTAAACCTATTTTGTAGTATTAATAATATGTTTCCCTTATTAAAAAAAAAAAACCTTCGAATAATTTTCAATTATTATAACATTTCAGTTAGTGGAGAACCACCTAGGTGCGTATTTTAACTCAAATATGAGTGAAGGATGAGTGTAGAATGCTGTGAGATGATCTATATTACTGACTAAGATCATCTGTTTCATCAGTCAGGATCATTATTTATTTAAAGCCCAATGATCAGGGACAGCTGGGTCCGGTTTCGAACCAATAAAAAACTACTGACTTAACTCAGAATTGAACCTGCGACCTTTTGATTGTTTGACATGTACTTTAACCACTCAGCTACCCAGAAAGTGTATTGGTAATAAATACACCCAGCCTAAATTAACTTGAGCCCAAATCATCATTAAATTTACAGGGACAAAACTGCAACTTTGGCTAAGTGAAACTAGATTTGATGAATTGATCATAATGGGGTACAGGTTATGTAGCAAACTATCATGTTTCAGATATTTACGTATAGTGGAATTAGTTGTCACTTTTATTTACTCTGTTGAACATACAACTACTCTTTAATATTTGTCTTTATAAGACCATAAATGTATAACCGCGTAGGTTCTGTTGATTTTGGACAAAATTTTACCAAACATTTACACTAAACAAATAATTTTTGTAAATATAAAATATAAAAAGTTAATAAAATCTACAATAATAGGCCTACTATGAAAATAGCGTCCATGTTTTATTTATTCTTGATTCTACCGTACAACGAACACTTTCGTATTGTATTGATTGTTTTGTTCCAGGATGTGAACCACACCACCCCAACGGATGCCACGGAGCCTACAGCCGACACTCTCACTACCCTCTCTCTCATATTCGTGGGTGAGACTAACCACTTACGTACAACTTTATATTCTAAACAAGAGCAAGCCGATAGAGTGAATATTACCAGGTCCAGACTCTAAACTATATGTTTAAGTTAAAGAAGCAGTAATATTCATTTACCTTCGACGGTTTTTTTTTGTACTAGCAGTTTCAGTTCAGTTCTTAGAATTGAGATCCAATTAACAACAATGCTTACTTACATGACAGCATTGGTTTTTCTTAACAACACAGGTAACGGACTAAATAGGTTCAAGGATTAAGAGAATAGAAGTCAGATTGTAATGCTTCAAACTTCAACTAATTAGCTGTTCAAGACAATTCAATTGTTTACTGGTGCAATTAATTTGAGGTACAATGATTAATGTCAGTGGAAATGAGATAGGGGCTCTGCCCCCAGGCCCCCTCTTTATTTAAGCCGTAATAAAAAGTGCCACTGGAGTCAGGATGATGTCAGGAAATTTTTTTCTACGTTAAAAACCATAGACTCTTAGAGGGTTTGTTTATGGGGAATAAAAACAGGTCTTGACATGTTACAGTTTCGTTGTGGGTTTGTGTTTTTAAGATTGAAGTTAGCTAAGGCATTAACTGTAAAACTAACTTTAATCTTATAGGTAGATCAATAAAGGTACAATCTTTTGAGGAAGGGAGAGTTAACAATACAGATAGTTACAATTTAATTTAATTTTAGTTAACAATATTTTTTTTAAGAGTTTGGCGGCCTCTTTTAACTTGCATTTGCCCGTCCGCATAGAGTACAGATTTGTGCGTGGAGCAAATCTAGCAAAGCAAGGGGTGAGGTGGTACAGTACAAGGTGAACTGTACTGATAAAATGTTGGTGGCAGTGACCAGGATTTGAACCCAAGACAGCCAACTATCATTTGAGTATGCGAAATTAAGTATCGGTATACTATTTACGAAAAACTTCCAAAAATGTTTCCATTTAGTCAGCTTGGACTTATTTGCTAGCACCCTATAAAAAATATTCTGCATGTCGTTTTAAATACATAATACAAACATGCCAACGATACCAATTAACTATTTAAATACTCTAAATTCTAATGGAATCAAACCAGGTTGTTTCATATAATAGTTATAATCTACATTTAGGTACGTTACAGAAATGTAATCAAATAAATTATGTATTTTTAGATAAAATTATTTGTATCCATAAATAATACCGATACCTAATCTGTAAGATTGTTATTTGACTCGTATATTTGCTTTATATTCCTGTTATTGTAGCAAGGACACTCGTTACTTTCTACAGTATTTCCATGTACTGCTTGGTTATCGATAATATTGTTACTCTAAAGTAACTAAAGGAAGGTTATCGCGCCAAGGGGCTGTTTCCTTTTACAACCGATATCGCTTAATGGGAGTTGTGTTAATTAGACAATGTAACTAATCTAAGAAGCTCGAGCTAATAATGGAATTATAATGACTACATTGATTGAAGAATATTGCCTTACAAGATTCCACCAGCTGTAGCTCGTTGTACAATATTAACTTATAACTAAACACTAGTTGTGGATCGTTGTACAATATTAACTTATAACTAAACACTAGTTGTGGATCGTTGTACAAAGTTATCTTGTTAAAATACAGTAACCTGTTGCAACTGTCTGTGCAGTAGTATCATATAAGCAACCACCTGATTTAACTCGCGTACTGTTTCATTTATTGAAACCGTTAATTTAATCTAAGTGTACGTACAATATGCCTTTTGATGTACTATCTGAAGACAAAGGTACAATTTGACATATATGAGATTTTAATTTTTAAGTAAATTTTCCCCATAATGTTTTATTAACAGTTGTTCGTAATACTGTATTGACTTAAATGAATCACTTGTTAAAAATATAGTGTAATACTTGTTTGTAATAAATAGCTTTACAAGTAAACTAGCTCTTATAGTTTGATTGCTGCATTACATTTAACCAATTTTAACCCAAAATAAACATTATAAATGAGAGACTAAAATAACTTTTGTTAGCTACCTGAAATATCAAAGTTAATGCCAATAATCAGTCAATGAAAATTGTAATGGTATATAATTTATGTTAAATTATTGCTATGCAGTGTTTTATAGGAATTATTTAAACAGGATTTGAAATTACTTTAACACTTTCATTGTTTTAATCTCCTTACTTTGGTATGTGATTTGTGCAACAAAGAAAATATAGCAGGTACATTCAAACGTGTACATCGATAGACAATTTCGTTTCTAGGTCATCCAAAAGTTCCACGCGAAAGAGATAAAAATCAAAAAGAATAAAGAAATAATAAACTGGGCATATTGTATTGTGAATCTTTAGAAGAGTTGTATTGACATATCCAAACCACCTTGGTGTGGTATTTACATATTTATAAAGTGCAATCAACCACAAACACGTTGTCTGAATCCACTGAAGCGTATATCCAATCAATCGACCATGAATTCATATGACGACATATATTGTAGTACGGTATAAACATATCTTTCAAATTGACAATGATTGTTATGTGACATATTTATGAGATATTTTGTCTACCAAATAACAACAGGCTATAGGCCTATTATTGTTATTGGATTTTCATCAGGGTTTCAGCTAGATTTGGCCCGGATCCCTAGTAAATATTTGTCCTATCCCTCTAAGCACCAAACGTAACCATCTGTAGAGGACGATTTTTTACAATTGCCTTTCTTAATTATCTTTAAACTTCATATTTTGATTAAACTTTAATATTAGTGTGTTCTAGCTTTAATAAGAGAATGCAAACGTTTTTAAAGAGTTTTTCATTCTAGATAAATTTTAAAATGTTTTGATACAGCAGCTAGCATGAGTGCAATAATGTGGTTTCCATTGCGCAAAATTACATTTACTATGAAGGTTGTTATTTGACTCGTATATTAGCTTTATATTCCAACGAAAACGATCTACCTACACCTTAAATTATTATCTACCACACTAATAGACATAAATACCTTTATATTCACACTATTCTAATAGCATTCCTTACGTTGTTTAGCTCCAAACAACATAATATACAAGTTTAATCCGTCTGATGATGGTTGCAGGAGTGTTTCTATCGCTCCTCATATTCATCTCCATCTTCGGCAACATCCTGGTGTGTGTGGCCATCTACACGGACCGCGGGCTAAGGAGGATCGGCAACTTGTTCCTGGCGTCCCTCGCCATCGCAGACTTGTTTGTCGCAGCGTTGGTCATGACGTTTGCCGTAGTCAACGACCTGCTGGGCTACTGGATCTTCGGCGCTCAGTTCTGTGATACGTGGATCGCGTTCGACGTCATGTGTTCCACCGCCTCAATCCTCAACCTGTGTGCCATCAGTCTGGACAGATACATTCACATCAAGGATCCTCTCAGGTACTAAATAATAGCTAGAAACAGTTACATAGGTAAAACTATCCAAAGGTGTGTTTTCATTGTCTTTCCCACTCGAACATCAACGCTGACATTTCACTCAAGGATAACAAAAAACATAAGCCATCATATTGCGGTTTGGTATAAAACCAAAAAAAATGAGTTAATGTTTGTCGCTAATTTAGATTAGTTTTTTCTGACACTTGGAACTTGTTTCAGGATTTTTCTTATATCGTGTATTAGAACCAGCTTCATAGTTTTATTCCAAACGAGCATATTTTATACCTTTCCAGTTTGTTATACAAAAAAATATTAATTCATCATGTAAAATATAATGTACATCTATATATAAGAAAGCGAAATTAATTCCGATCAACGCACAGGCCAAACCTTAGCACCTAGAAGCATGAGAATTTTGCATACAAATTCCTCTCATTGTGTAGGCAGACTATAAGAAGCGATTTTACAAAATTCTCAATGGGCCCTGCATGGTCAAATCAGCAAAAGGTCAAATTTAGCATGGAGTTTGTATAGGAGAAACCATTTGTTTTGGGTTTTTGTTTACATTAAATTTGTCTGCAATTTATTTAATTATCAGCTGTTAGAATAAAAATTAAGTTTAGTTATAACTGTGTGTCAGAGAAATTAACCTAATTTATTACTGCATTTTAGTATATCAACTGTAATATCTGTGAGGAGTTGAAGAAAGTAGAATTGAATTTCAGTAATATATAGCAAAATTAGTTTATTATTCATTATCAATGGCGTAACCTATATTGAAATGATCACTAATACCATCACTACAACTGTTTCAAAACTAATTAGTACTAATCAAGGCAGTTATTGTTGTTTACATTGGTATTGATCTTACCTATTAGTATTGGCAAAGCACGTCCCTTATGTCGAACGCATGGGTTGTTTCAATGTAGTTACCAAGCTCCTAACCACAGCTGAATATATACACTTAATGAGTACGAAACGAGGTGGTTATTCTTTTTTTACCTTGGTATTGATTTGTCTATTAGCATTAAAAGAAGCTAATAGATAGTAGATAATGATTGTTCCAATATGGCCAATAAATCCCTCGAAATATTTAAACCACAACTAATTCGTTCTAATAAAGATAGGCATTGTTGATGAAATTAACATTGATGTACTTAGTAGTACTGGCAAAATCCTTTTAGGTCTACCTCATGGAAGATACATGGAAAAGTCATCGGCTCAATAAACCAGGTCGTACCTAGCCTAGAAGGGCTAAGTGGTGATATAGATAAAGTATGCTCTTCTTTTGGCCGTTGCATCACTTTCACAATTAATTGATTTATATGTTACGGTGTTTGTTATTATTTAATAACAATTACAAAAATAATCACTTACAAAAATTTTGTAGAATTGCAAGTTTTATAATAGGGTTACACCTACCGTAATATTGCCAAAAGGAAACTTTTATAAATTAGCCTAATTAGTCTACTATCAATGTGTGACTGTCTATTTAGCTTCGTACTGCCTTGGTAGTTAAACCCGAGAGTAACCTACAATAAAAAAAATAAATGAATAGGGTGAATTAATAAGATCGATTATTAATAATGTAAATGCAAATATGAATAGATATGGTGAGTAAATACAGTCTATGTTCACCAACTATTGAATACCTAATCCTAAGTAGAAAGCTAGCTAGGTAATGTTATTGTGTTGATCAGAGTACTGGTATTCATTGTTTGCCTACGGCTTGAGGGAGCGCGCCTGCGTTTATTCTGAAAACAATGTAGCTGTAAACACAATATTGTTTTGTTGTAGCTTCTCCTTCAAATGTTATAAGTTTTTGACAATATAATATAGAATTGTAATGTGATATGATCGAATTACTTCGCTTTTAGTCATGAAATAATGTGAATTTATTCTATGTAATTTTATACCAGTATGTGCTTTTTTTATCACCACCGAAAAACGAAGATTTTTTTAAATATTATCTACTAATTGTAATAAAATATACTCATGACACATTCTTATAAACTATCAGGTTGGTATTTGAAGTTTTCAAAGGTTTCAAAAGTAAACATTTAGCAAGCCAGTATACATGTACCTTAAACATAAGCTAAGAGTTGTGCATACAAGTTTCTTTACAGTGACTTCTTTTAAATCACGTAGATACAATTTAAAAAGTTAATGTTACCTTTCCAGTTAATTCGGTCATCCATTGCCCTGGGCATTGATATTTTTCCTAACTATTATTAGTCTTGCTTATATTTTTAAATGTTTCTCCCGAAAATTGTGTATGAAATTTATAAGAAAATTATAGCTTACCGTACCAATCCGAGAAGACAGATTTGATTTCTAAAAACTAGATAGGTTGTAGAATAAAAATATAATAAACATTATCTCATCATACTTAAAGAGACGTTCTCTATTCTAGTTTTAGTGAGTGATAGTTTCATATAAATTATTAACTCAGCCATTCAATAGTTTACCTCGCATACAACTATGTTTTTTTTTCTTTATTTGTTATTCACTAAAGATAATATTTTACACAAATTGTGTTAGTAAATATATTACCCTTCCAAATAATGTACGAATAAACAACAACTTGAACCCACACATTATGTTCAGAGTATTCATTAAAACCGTACATTTACCATCAAATGTATGTAAATAAGGTTTTATTAGGGTACTTTGTAAATGATTGACTGAATCAATATTAATCCCCCCCGACTGCAGCAACCTGCTAATGTTCCAACCTGTCGACAGGTACAGTAGGTGGGTAACTAGGAGAGTGGCTGTAGGGACGATTGCTGTGGTCTGGCTGCTGGCAGGCCTCATCTCCTTTGTCCCCATCTCTCTTGGTCTGCACAGACCGCCACAGCCTCTGGTATTCACCGCAGGAGACACTGAGTACCCGACCTGCGCACTAGACCTCACTCCCACCTACGCAGTCGTCAGTTCCTGCGTATCCTTCTACTTCCCCTGCGTGGTTATGCTGGGCATCTACTGTAGACTGTACTGTTACGCACAGAAACACGTCAAGGTAAACAATGTGCAATCACTGGATATTATATTCAAGGATACCAAAATATCATTGGTATATAAGACAATTTAATACATGTAAAACAAGTCCGGCCACTGTTCATCAGTAGTTTGTTTTAATATTGCATTTTAACTAATTTTATTTTCGGATTAGTCGCTCTTCACGAATCGGGAATATATGTAGTTTAAAATATCTGTGTATTTTTATTGTTTCTATTTCATACATTTTCTTAATTAAAATTACTAAACTGACATGATTGGTAGTTTTTTAAGTAGGTTGGGTACACTTTACATGAATAAGGGTGCCGATACACAGGATCCAGAATAATTTCTAGTTTTACCAAGTTTTAACTAAGTTTTAAGTTTTAGAAGCTTAGCTTGAAATCCATTTATAATAATTATTGATTTCAAAACATTAGAAAGAAAGCACGATTTTAACTTGTTAACATTGCTATGTGACGTGACAGAACATCCGGGCAGTGACGCGGCCATTGACGTCATCGCAGCTGGCTCCAGTGACGCACCACGCGTCCTCGCCATACCACGTCAGCGATCACAAGGCAGCAATCACCGTAGGAATCATCATGGGCACCTTCCTACTCTGCTGGGTACCCTTCTTCTGCGTCAATATTATTGCCGCTTTCTGTAAAACGTGCATCCCTGGAATGGCATTCAAGGTGAGTCTTGCCCTTAACATGTCACAAATATGCTTGAACCACAATGTAAACACTCACGTAAACATGCTTTAACATGGTGTTTACGATATTTATTACTCCTTTCGCTGTCAGATAAAATGTTATATTTAACCAATGTTAAGCTCGTTTAGTCCATTTACTGATCGCCACCGTAGTCAAAAGTGAAATAGGCTAATCAAATACGTTTTTAGTATTATTTATGAATATGTATGTGTTTTTTGTTTTTTGTTATGTGTGCAAATTTACAGATTTATAGATTGATCAGGATCAAAAATTATTATTTGATTTGAACAATTTGAAATATATTTTTCTAAAGTTTAATTTTGAAAATCTTACAGTCCTACAAATCTTTTACCCTTTGAGCTCAAAAGTTGAAACACCTATACAACCAAATTGACATATAACATTTCAAATCCATTTACCGTATTATAGTTTTTCTATAAAATATTTACAATCGGCCTATACGTGATGGTCTCGCCTAAAACTAATATACATTCCCAAGCAAAAATCCGGAGCTATTATAGAATTAACAATAATTTAGAAGTCAACGGTTAAAATAACCGTTTGTTCAACTGCATTACTACGAACCCGTCTAACGGGATATTGATTATAAGGCTAATAAGTGTCACTTGTCCATTCATCCAATATTTTAGCTATTTAATTACCTTAGTCTGTTAAATAATATCTGTTTGTTTTATGCTAAAACTACTAACACAAGTTCTACAACATAATTAAAAACGCCATGATAATATCATGTTTATCTATTTATGTGTCCAAGAATAAATAAAATCTTACATTAAATTAAAGATTCCTTTGATTATTTTTAAATAGTAAAATCATTTAACAATGTGATAAATAAACTGTAACTACAATAGTAATTAATAACACACAACGAGCTTAAAGAAGATATACACACAAAGTTTATAAGGAATAACAATTTTTATATTGCACATTTTTTGTAAATTTACTAAGAGTGACAGGCAATGAAAGAAAAAAAAAACTTCATTGGCTTTATTGTTAACTATAATGTCATATTTACTTTAAAAAAGGAAATAAGTTCAATGAAAACGATTAAAAACCAAATGTATTGTGTTGTTAAATGTTCTTACCATGTTAAAAATGGATTATGGGGTACTAGAGTGTGTTCCAGATATGTGCAAGGTCCTTGCTACAACTTAAATCATACAGAAAATAAGTAAAGTTTTAGTTTTTTGCAACTATTTGTAATAACCTTTCAACCTACACTACCACTTTGATTTAAATAACTCTAATTACAATCACTAACAGCTGAGATATATTTTACATATAATTATTTAACTTTTGATAGATAGGTTTAAAGGGACGAAGGGCTTATGTAGGTAACATAAAGGGCCATTTAACCACCTACCTGAATTGATTGGCTGTCACAGTGGTTAGCTCTAAACAAGACCATCAAGTTTAATACTTTTCGATCACTATTTTAAGGGTGTTTCAAATTTTGATTTTTTTTTGCTATACTGTGATATGAATTTTAATATAAATTTACTATGTTTTACTGATTTGAGCTAGTATTATCTTTGACTATTAATACAACAGTATAATACTACAGTATCCAATAGTCATTAGTATTATGTAATTATTTTTTTTAAATACACTGCCCTATGAAATGTTGTATAATAAAACGTACTCTAGTTTACAAAATGTATAGGTACCAATTAAAAGTTAAAAACGATAATCATTGAAAAGATAATCTAAAATATTTCTAAATTAATGAAATATGTATCTCTAATCCATTTATTAGTATATTGATTAACTAAGAAGAAGAATTTTGTTCTAGAAAGTGTGCACTACGAGCTCTTTCGCTTGCAATGTGTTAATTTTCTCAACAACATCAGGAAATGAGAAAAAATATACATTTGTACTGAAATACCCCAAAATACCTTCCCTCAAACACACCAACTTGCAGCAAGCCTGCAGACTAATCGAATGCAAATATTTCTGATTGGATTTTAAATAAAATGCTTCCATAAATAGGTCACAATTATTTATCATTTAAATAACGTAACATCAAACGAGTAATAAGGTTTGCTGCTGCGGGGAAGGGGAAGTGTATTTTTTTTATAAAATATGAATAGTACAGGATTAAAAAAATACCTTTAACAAATTTGAACAAAATTTTATCCATAAGCAAGCAAGCAATTAATTTCTGGGAATCTTAGAAATTCCATTATTTAATCAATGGCAATTCCTGGAAATCATACCTCGTACCAGGCCAGAAGGAACCTTTACACAACTAACCATAAAATTTTAAACGTAACATTTTTTCAGATGTTTCTCCATCTTGTTTTATTCTAAAACCATGCTGAACTATACGAAGTTCTTTTTTAGCTCTACACAATGTTTGTATTGAAAATGGGGCATTGCTATGTTTTAAAGGTAAAAACATGCAAAATCCCCTTTTTTTCAAAAATGATACAACACCTCTGTTTGCATTACTTATAAGTTTATTAAAATCGGATATACGTCTCACCTAAAGTGAACCAATAGCTATTTTTTTTTAAATTACTAGATATAGAGTTAACTTCTTTTGGGGCTCTCCCCTTTATTTAAAGGATATTTTTGTGATGGTTTTAATTTTTTTATGTCCGCCATTTTTTAATATAGCCGGCAACTTTGTTACTTCTTATGGAACACCTTGCTTTTTATAGGAACACCTGCGTTTTAGAGTTTAGATGCAGAAAAAACGTTTTTATTGCTGTCATTTTTTCTCTAAAGATACTTGTTTGTGAGTTAAACCTTGTTACACCTAAGAAAAACAAATGCTAGTGGTGTACAATATGCATCCTGTAGTTCCTAAACGAGTAAGTTTAGAGAGAAAATGCAAGGAATAAATGCCTTAAAATCACATCTTAATTCTAAAAACTGTATAAAAATACATTAAAAATATTGATTCTACTATTTCAAAAATGACAGCTAACTTTTAATATTGGAACACTTGGTTTTTTTGGTGTGTACAATGCTGTATCTCCTAAGCGAATAGCATTAACCCAATAAAGGAGTTAGCTATTGGTTCCATTTAGATGAGACACCCTATATACAGGGTGATTGATATAAGTGTGCCAGCTTTTTTATTTGAAAGTTATAAGAGATATCAAAAAGTGTAATATGTACATGTGTGTGTTTGTATTTGTGTGTGTGTGAAGTATGTTGTATTGTAACTGTCTTGAATTTTTATTAAAAAAAATTGTCAAGTTGAACAAACTATTGCACCTGCCCATTTTCCAATTTGACCTCCTACTTTTATTTTTTCCCATGAAAGACACTATATGTATTTTTGTATAAAGTAAATGCCATTTAAAATGTTTTTATTCGTGGAATCTTTTTCTCTAAAGTTACTCGTTTAGGAGTTACAGCGTGTTACAACTAAGAAAAAATGAATAGTGGTAAATTCCGCATCATGTAGCTCCTCAATGATCAAGTTTAAAAAAAAAATACTAAGAGTAAATAAGTCGTAAAATTGCATCTACATAAAACATATGAATTCCATTGTTTAAAAAATGACAGCTAGTTTGAAAACAGGTAAACTGTGTATTTTAAGTTACCCGCTTTAACTCCTAAACGATTAGCCTTAGAGAAAATAATTCTAGGAATAAAAAGTTTTAAAATTGCATTTACTTTCTAAATAAATCATAAAATATAGGGTCTTTCATACGAAAAATCAAAGTTGGCACCCATATTGGAAAAATGGCGTCTAAAATAATCTTTTAAACTTGTCCACAATTTTTTTAATAAAAAATCCAAGGCAGTTTCAGTTTAACATATTTTGATACCTCATATAACGTTCGAATAAAACAGCTGGCACACTTATATCAATCACCCTGTATATATAAGAAAATTGACACAAATAATGTTTTCGGCCTCAGGGAAAATAAATATTTAACAGTAAATTGGTTCCGTGTCCAGGTCTTTCCTTGCCACATTACAATATGCTTCTCCCCTAAAGGGAAATTTACTATAATATAAAAATAGAACAACTTAATCTCTATTTATTTTTATTTATTGCCAAACTAATTGTGTAAATAATTGCAGTTTCCAATTTATATAATTAGCAAGTAGTGCCAGGATTTGTAACTAATTATTATAGCCTTCAACCCGTCCTGTTTCAGCCTATATTTATAAAAAAGCGTTATATAGTTACATATATAGAATGTTCTGTCTCTTATATTTAATTTAGCAGTAAAAACATGGGACGGTTAGCTAATAGGCTCCTATTTAGTTTATTATTATTTTTCAAAAGGAATAGGCCTAGTTGTCTAGATCCATTGAATCATGAAATATCAAAAAGTCAACCTTTAGGAATCCCTACATCCAATTGTGTTCAAATAAAACTTAACATTAACAAACTATATTGTTTTACAGCATTGGTTATGTTCTACTATAGAATAAATTATAAATACAAACCTAATTTTCTCACATTATAATAGTCCTTTAGTAAAGTGCAGAGCCTAAATTAAATAGGACCAGTCTTTCGAGCTTTATCAAGAATATATTATTATGCGGAATTTTACCATTTACATGTCGATCTTTTTGTTTCATTTAGATACTTGACTACATAAGAACATAACTCTTGTCATCGTATATACTAAGTCATTTTATTTATTTTTGTAATTTACATTTATAGTATTGAGTAAAGTTTTCTAGATGCCAATAGCGTAATCCTTTGAACTTAAAAGTATATAATTCATATGTTTAGCAGTACACTTAGTAACACATAAAACATAAGATTTATGTGTTCTAATTTAGAAAATGTCAAAAGTAAAATATGTTTAACCTAATTTCATTGTCCTTAGACTTCATAAGTAATCTTTACATTAAGTCACTGTAAACTGTTAGAAAAGATTAATAATAAAATCTAATCAATCTGTCAAAAAATTACTCTATAAAACTAGTTAAATAGTATATGTCACTTTTACCTTTGGCAGTTTGGCATTTTAGTGACAAATAGACCACAAAAGCCTTGACAGCTACTTCGTAGTTTTTTAACGACATTCCTTGTGCTATATATTCCCTGTTACATAGGTGCTGACATGGCTGGGATACTCCAATTCAGCGTTCAATCCCATTATTTACTCCATATTCAACACGGAGTTTCGAGAAGCGTTCCGCAAGATTCTTACTGCACATTCACCACCATGTTGTTGTAAACGTTATGACAACGTCACCGTCGCTCTGGGGGCCAACCATCATCAAGCAAAGGTAGGGCATTTGGAAATTAACGTAAGAAAAATAATGACATACTGAGCGTTGGAGGTACCAGGTTACGTTTGCACAAGTACCTGTCAGATAGACATCATTTTACTTAAGCTAATGGTCAATGACAAAAAAATCTTTGCATTAAAGTGATTAATTTGCAAGCAAAAGGATCAACTAGCTGGCCTATCGGCTACACTTTAGTATAAGAAAACAACGATAATACAGATATTATTGGTGAAGTCGTACCAAAGATAAGAAAACTTATTCAATATAAACAAAGTTATCGCAAAAGGCTTGGCTCAGTATAAGTACATTATTATACAGGGTTAGGCAACAGTCTGGAACCCCCAGTTAACATTTTAACGCAAACTTGGCACATATTTACAACATAAGAAACTGCACTTTTTCATCAAAGTAACAACTTTGCCCCAGTCCCCAAAATGGGGTATTTTGGGGGAATCCCCAAATTTTCAAATGTAAACACCTATCATGTGACCCCTCATTTTAAAGGGTTTATCAAGAGAAATTGAATGGTACAAACTAGAGGTAAACACCCCTAATCAAAATGACATCCATTTCAATTATTTAAGATGAGCAAGCAAGATAAAGTCTGGACACCCCTTGTTAACATTAAAAATTTAATATTTTTTATACCGACCAAAACGTGAATTCTTCAAAGTACTCCTGCTATAACCTGTTAAAAAGTTAATAGAGGATATTAAAAAATTAATGCCATTTTGATTATGGGTGCGATATTGACCTCTAATTTGCACCATTTAATTTGTCTTGAGAAACCCTTAAATGAGGGGTCACATGATAGGTGTTTACATTTGAAAATTTGGGGATTCCCCCAAAATATCCCATTTTGGGGGCTGGGGCAAAGTTGTAACTTTGACGAAAAAGTGCAATTCCTTATGTTGTAAATATGTGCCGAGTTTGGTTTTCCTACTGCAACGCGTTAAAAAGATCCAGACTTTTACCTAACCCTGTATAAGGTGCAGTCCTGTGCTAACATAAATAACATTTTTATAGTTTTAACTAACTATGAACAAAATTATTTAGTCAGCGGTACACCTCACATATCATATATCTCATATATATGTTATGATGATTTTTTACTCATAGATTATAAAGCTGATTCATAATAATGTGGAGTATAATACAGGGTGTTTATCGGGTATGCTTTGTGTTTAGGTTTTTTTTTGTACAGTATAGTATTATTCATTTTATGGTATCATTATAACACTATAGTTTTAAAATATTAACATTTATAATAGTTTAACGTATTTACTACCAGGACCAGGTGTCAGTTACTATACATAGACTACAGAGGGGTGTCCGGTAGTGAGCCTCGTGAACTGTTGTTCAATTCCCACTATTTTTTTGTTTTGACTTTTATGGACAAGCGGTAATATTTATTTCTACATCAAAAATTTAAAATCTATACTCGAATTATTTATTTATTTGGCCAATATTAATACAAATCTGGATTTAGGATGAACTTAAAAAATTACAGTGTTCACTGACAGATATAAAATTCGATTTAAATTTGTTAAACTTAATAATATCCATGAAAAAAATTCTCTTCAATGGCAATATGTATTACATGTTTCAAACTTAACTTTCGTAGTTGGAGTACAGTTCATATACTGTAGTAAAATATTTCGTACATAACAAGCAAACGCCATTGCATCCTGGATTGTTCAAATCGCAGGTTTTAAGCTCATGTTACAATACGGTAAGCACAGGATTATACGGCATGAAGCCATAAAACTGCAGTAAACAATATTTTATCGGTAAATCAACGTAGGCGATCAATTAAATAACGGACGCTCGACTTTATGTTCCCTTTGTTTACGATGGAACAAATGATTGTCACTCTTTTCATTGTACCGCTTGTAAATATAACAGTAACAGTCTTTGTGAAAGAGTATTAATGATTGCCCTTTTTCAAACTAAATACATTCACACCAATTTCATAACCATTTTGACATTAAATGTTTTCAGCATAAACAATAGCAAAAACCTTTATGTTTCCAGCTCTTTATTTAAATTGAAAGTGCACGGTGTATTATGATTATTCACAATCGTACCTGTTTGATTTTCAAGCACTCCTCTGAAGACAAACACTCTCAAACGGTGATTGTTTAACGTGTGTGGGATAAGAATCCTACTTTACATATTTCTATGGGGCACAACAAATATTTCTGACTGCCCGTTTGCTGTTAAGAGTAGGATCAACATGATATTTGCCCTACAAAGCTTGCTCAGCCCAGTTTAAAAAAATACGTGGTAATGTTTTAACAAACTTGAATTGATACTTGAAACATGCTATACATAAAAAATATCATACACAGAATAACATGATCAATATTAAGCTGAATACCTCATATTTTAGTTTAGAGAGTGCTAAAAATACTTACATTTTATATTATTTTATATTAAAAGCCTCATCCATCGTAAAGAGTTGAATTATATTTCTAAATAAAAAAGTTAATCAAATAAAAAAAATCATAATAAGATATAAGTGGCGAAATAAAACTCTCAACTCTTCATAATATAGTTTGTTAATTTAATAACTTTTGTGGTAAAAAAGTACGAAGACTCTCCTATATGATCCGTATTAGAACTTAAACGTTCTGGCGTTGGAATGATTAGTCCAATCATTAACAATTTAAGTAATATATTATACTAAAACCCACATTCATAATACAGTAATTATGAATGTGGGTTTTAGTATAATATATTACTTAATTAATTATTAATATATTAGTATAAATTATCACCCCATGCCCTAGGTTTAATTTATTATGCGGATAATGAAGCCTACCAGTATTTTGAATTCAAATAATAGCCTACTAATAATAAAAGAATATAAAAAAATGTGCCAATTTTGTTTATATTTTTTTTGCAAATAATACGGTACGGTTGCGAAACGCCGATGTCGGCTGACGGCCGACAAGAGAGATAAAAGGGCTAATACTATACTATAAATAATATTATTACCAATATAGGAAGACTGAGAGGTCTGTAAAGGTTCGTACGTATGATGCCTGAGGTTGCAAAGCTTCAAATCATGCAGTAAATAGTTGTCAATATTTTACTACCGCTTTACATGTAGGCTACCGGGATACTTTATTTATTGCTTATTTGTCCTTAAAGTCTGGAAAATTAACATTAAGTTAAGTTCTTAATGTTTGTAAATAGTTTTACTCGAATAAAGCTTGTTTCTTGTACACTTTTTTATATTAGCATAGATTTTGAATTCATTTATATAGTTTTATTCTGTACGGTTCTGTTTCAGATAAAGCAGAATGGTCGCAAAGAGGTAAATAGCTCGAGTCCTCGCAGCAGCATAGGCTCTCTACGACAGACGAGGGTTAACTCTACAGACAAAGTTATCCTTGAGGAGGAGACATGCGCGATCTGACCTCCTAGTTTCACACATGAGGAGCTTGTCTAGTAGGGAGATTTTACTGGGGAATAGACAACCGGAGTCCTCACCGTAGTACTGGCTTTCTACAACGTACGGTCAGGGTAAAACAGATGAACTGCAAGATACGACTGCCAAAGTGCAAGAACTCGTCTTGGTAGATAAGATAACCGGACGTGAGTTACTTATGTAAGTCCTCGTGTAATGTACGACCAATCATCACTTGGAGCAAATAAGGATAACTCCACGGTCGGTTAGGCTTTCGCACCAGAAAATCCACGTAACTCGGAGTAATGAGCTGGGAGATGAGATGGTAGATGTCTCCCCTCCATGGAGGGTGTCAGCTCAAGACTATGGATCGTGATTTGGCCACTATGTACGAGACAATAGGGCTGTTCAAGATGAAGAAGTACAGTCAAAGATACGAATGAGTTTACTACTGACAGAAGCATCAATTTGCTCCATCATGCGAAGGTCACCTCTTCAGAGAGTGCCTTTGTAGATAACACATCTTGGCCAATTCAACCTCCTAGGCTAACCCGCGAATAGCAGATTGTTGAACATCTACAAAGCCTATAAATATTGCACGGCCGTCCACTCTTCTATAAACTCCTCTAGATCCATTGAAACAGAATTTCATCCCCGAAGGAATGATAGAACAGCCCAAAATAATACAACCTGCAAGACTACGTAACAAATACATTTAAAAAAGTCAAAAGGCTTGAAGAAATCAGAATTGTGAATATTTATAGTATAATTGGCAGCAATGCTCTTAAGGAATACGGGTTGATTCACTCAAAGTATTACAATAGGTAACTTGTTAGACGTGCATTTTACAGAGAACTTTAAATGAACAACTTCCCTTCTTTTTTTTGTGACATTTTACAAGATGCTATTTTATATTCAAAATTTGCCACCATTTTCCAAAATGGTAGTGATATTTAATTTTTGTCAATGGCATCCTCACTTTTTATGATTGTTTTGGATTCAACGTAAAATTTTAAGAACATTTTATTCTAGTAAATTTTTTTATAAGCCTATCCGATGGATCTACAGCCATAATAAGCCACACATAACCATGGATATTGTATTACTGTTTAAAACATGTTGGTAAAGCTTTCGAATTAAATGAGAATATATCCAGCCGATGGAATAATAATAATCAGCTGATTAATTGTCTATTTAGTTTTTAAATTATTAAAGATTTAGTATTTATTGAACCATTGTCTAAATTCATTTTAATTCAAATAAAAGGAGAACATTAATTATTCACTACAATCATAAAACCATGGACAATAATTCAATGAATACTAAATGTTTTATTGTTTTAAATTAATGTACAATTGATCAGCTGATTACTCTATCAGTTGATTATCTTCTTCTTTAATGCAAAAGCTTTACTGACATGTTGTTGTAAACAGCAATACAATATCCATGGTTATTTGTGGCTTATTATAGATTAAATCCCAAACAGTTATGTTTACCAAAAACATTACAATAGTAAAATATCTTAAAATGTTACGTAGAGTCCAAAACTATTAAACTATTAAAAAGTGGGGTTTGCAGTGAGGATTTTTTTTGTCATTTTAGAGAATGGTGGAAAAAATTTAATGTAAAATAGCATTTCAAAAAATGTAAAACAATAGAAGAGTCTCGTTTATTTTGTGTTTCCTCTGCTGATAAGATAGGACATACGACTTAATGAACTGTGATGGATGATTCTTTGTACATTCTTTGAGTATTTTTCTACTATAAATTTGTTTGTCTTAATTAAAAATACCAAACTCAAACCATGTAACTTATTAGAGTTTTCTTAAGCTTTTTGATTATCACCCTGTTTCTCTTTAAAAAAATACATATATATATATATACATAATTTATTTAGCAGAGCAAATGTTGATGATGGTCAATCAAAAACAGAAATAAGCAGTTTAAATAAGGTTTTTCAATTTGTTTTACTCACCGGTGATATTATTTAGACCACAATTTCTTTATTTGCGACACGTCAAAGTCAATATTAGGCTTTCCAAGCAGGTATAACATTTTTTAAATCTGTTGATACATACAGAGAGCGGTAGGTTATGTTAGCATGAACGCAAGGGTTTTACTTTGGCATCGAGCAGGAGAGTGCTCTGTTTACAACCAGTACTAATTTGTATTATGATAAAAAGTCTACTGCTCGCTTTGACTCATGTATTGCTTAAAGTCTACGTTGTCAATATTTTTTGTAAAGATATGTTTAAATACATATCCATATATAAATACCAAAGTACCCATGAACTTTTGCGAAAACAACAAATCACACCCCCATAAACCATATGGGCTACTTAAAATGTTCGCCATGACGAGAAACCTTGCGCAAAACTATCTATTTTTCATAAATTGCCCTTTTAAAGTCGTATTTACTTTCTAAATGGAACATTCCATATACCTAATGTTGAAAATACCTCAGCCGTACTTATTAGTTTGTTATTTCGTCAATTTATTACCTTAGTAAAATCAGGTGTAATTATTTGTTTGTATAACTTTAGTCTGTTTTGTTTATTTTAGCTTAACTTAACTAATAGTTTTATTAATACTTGTGAAGTCAAACGCTGTGAAGCTCATGGGTAACATCATTGACTATTATACTTAACAGCTAGTTATCAATAATTTACAATGGTAAGTTTTTGTGCGAATTTAATTATACACGCCCGTGTCTTTGTAGCAAAGATTTTTTTTATTAATGCGAATGAAAAATGTAAGTAAATTCTACGTTGATATAAAAAAATTACCTAATTAAATTATTTTAGTTGTAAGATGAAGTCCCAAGAATTGTATTGTAAATAAAATTGAAAGAGTGGGCTTAGTACGACAATTTCATCACAGCAATATGTTATCTTAGGAAATAATTACATTAGGTTAAATGTACAGTATAATAGGAGTCGGCATCCTTAAAAAGAACTTTCGTAATTAAACATAGCTTATATTAATAAAGCCACAACTCTTTAAAAATATTTATCAGTTTTATGATTCTTTAAACTTCTATTTATAACTTAATTATTCTCAATATTTTACAGTTTGGGTGATTGTTTTATTATAGTTATTTATTTAAAATAAAACTAACCTTTTGAGTTCAGCAGTATTCGTCAACCTATCGAGGCAAAGGAATGCCTACTGTAGGCCTAATGTAGGCCTTCTGTAGGCCTACTGTTGGCCTTCTGCCTTGACAGTACTTTTCCTTTGTGTATTCAACCTTTTCCGAAATCAATTATTTATAGCTATTTTAAAGTTTTGTTTGATTGTATTTTTTTCTTTTTCTGCGTAACATTCTGGATTGTGACAAGTAAATATAAGCGAGGTGACAAATTGAGTGAATTAATAACAAACCTTGTAACTATAGTTTCTCTACTACTAACCTTAATATTTGAAAACAACATTCTGTGATAACGTTAACCAATGTAAACTAATGTAATAATGCGACATAGTATCCTTCTTTTAAATTTACCTGTCAATCCTTTACTTAAAAATCTACGTTTGGAGTGTATCTTTAAAAGAATACAAAAATATTAAACGATATAAATCGTACACTAAAGATAAAAGATAAAAGGTCATGTTTTGTGGATGTGTTAACAAATAACGTAAAGCAGACTTTTTAGCTTAAAAACTACCGATAATTAAACAAAAAAAATTTCAAATTTACAGCCAATTTGGTACGTTGTGTTTGAATGAAAAGATTGTTAACGCAAATTCTCCATTGAAATAAAAGCGTTCTATCCAACAATAACGTCCGCGTATCGAAATTGCTACTATTGTTTTTACAATTTAAGATTGACAACTATACCACTTATAGTTTTTCACTCAAAGCTGTATAGATATATTTTTTTAACAAAATACAAAACAGAAAGCACATTGCATCTGGTCAGTATTAATGATCGCCTGTTTTTGAAGACCTGTTACAAGCAATATAGATATATTACCTTCTCTTTTAAAAGGCTGTGATGTGTGATGGGTTGTTACCTTTAAGGTGTATGTTGTACCCACCTTATGTACATAGTTTCTAACTGAAGACACAATTGGGTAATACAAAAAAAACATAACAATAAGGAGAATATATACTAGATTTAAATAAACAAATAGTGGGTTAAAAAATAAGTAGTACAATAGAACTCGTATCAATGGATTGGTAAGCCAAACAAGATTGTGATGTGAAAATATTTTACTATTCTGTAAAGTAAGTCTAAATGTATTTTGTTACAATGTAAAATTAAGACCATTTACAGTTTTAATTATGTTAACAGTTGAATATATTGTATTTTCTACCCTGTTTAAGCAAGAACAATAATATGAACGGAATAATAATATGAATTGTAAAAATAAATTGTTTTGGGAGATATTTGGAAAGTATATTGATTTAATCCCCACTACTTATAGAATGAAAGAAATGTTCAACGACAGTTTCCTTGACTAACTCTTGCATATTTGAGCGTCTTCGATCTCTTCGTAGTTCAATAACCAATCATCGTAAAGTGCGTTTTAATTGGCAGGACGATCAATGAGCACTACTGCTAATTGGCTGTAATGAGTGTTTGACGCTTCCAAGTTGTATGTTGTTGTGAACCATGACTTGTTTTATGTTCATGGGAAACATGGGTAATGTTCATATTTACCTATGTAATTTTGAGGAAGACTATTGAGAACTCTGCCTTACCCATCAGTACCTTGTTTAAAACTACTGTCCAAAATATACTTTTCACCACACTATGTTGTTTTTAGCCGTTTTACAAAGGCCCAAGCCAGTTGTCATCGTATTTTTGGGGACCTGGTTTTTGCGGTCATAGCGCCGAAAAACAGCTGTTCGCTTATTTAAAACATTAAATGTATAATTATACACAAGCTGTATCCATATGCATTGCAATAGACTTGTTTAATTGTCACCGCTGCATAGCAACTATTGACTGGGATTGCTTTCGTAGCAGCATTGACTTTATATCTACACAGTGAAAGCCACTTGAGGAGAGCGATCACGTTTCATGGTTTTAATAAAACGATAAAATAATAAAAATTATATATAATAAAAAATACAACTATTTCATCAATTTAACATATCAGTTTCCCTCAGAACTATCAACATCTATAACAAGTTTCATACGTAAAGATGTGGAAATTACATACACTTACTTTGTATTGCTATTTTCCCTGTGTTTGCTTAACGTCATCTTGTGAACCCGACCTTGAACCTAAATCAATCGGTTATAGTTGTTACCAAATAGTTGTCACCGTACCTCATGCGGTTTGTTTTCTTAAATGTTGTACATTTTAAACCCTAATTATGAACAAAATTGTTTCCAAGCAAGTGTTCTACATTCAGCTATCTCAAAACATTGCAAGAAGTAGTTGTTCGTGCATTTTGGGCGTTTATTGCTCGTCGTCATTGTCTACAAAAAAATTTCAGAATTCATTCTCAAAAACTGCCTGATGTTTTTGAGAATGAATTCAGAAATTTTCTTTAATATGACACTGTTATGTGAATTAGAAATTCTCTTGTAAAACGAAAAACGCAAAAATACTTTATCCTTATAAGGCAAAAATATACTCTAAGTCGTTTCCAACACAACAATCAATACAACAAGTGTGTTGCAAACACGATGATATCGTCAAAATATTTCAAAGTCAATAAAAAGAAAACATCTTCATAATAGCTAATAAGGTAAATGTTATTTGTTATAACCTTATTTAGCTACGTACATAAAATCTGTAAAATACTGCACCTATTCGATCAGTGGTCGTTTTGAAAGTTGTGACCTGTAAATGTAAATGTAAACTAAAAGACTTTCTCAGTAATATTTGATCAGTGGTTATAATCAGATTTTTTTCCTTTGTACTGTGTTTAGGTCGTGGCTTGATTTTAACATATGCAACGATTCTTTGTTTTGTGTACATTTACGTCGTTATTTTCTAACTATCATGGCAACCCATAAGGTTAATGTTAAAATAAAAAAAAAAACTTCGAGTTACTTTTAAAATTATATAGGCATTATCAAAAATTGAAATTAGTTTCGTCTAAACCTTCCAA